CACTTTTGCCAGATGGTGAGAAATTTATCCGGCCACGATTTTGGCCAGATTAGGACGTTTTCCGGATGGTCGGATTTCGGATTAGTGTCTACAGTAATTTCACAAGTGAAATTTCCTAAATAATTGTGATGGGCTGCGAGAGTTATGGAAAGTGGTGTTCAACGAGTGTTAGGCAGGGTGTTTCACTTGTTTGTCTCAGTGGTAAATGTTCACATTTTATATTCGACAGCAAGTCGATCCCTGGTTTTGGAGTTGTCTTTTAGGTTTCAAATGTTGACTTATACGCCGGCATATACGGTAAACTCTCTGCCTGTCTATTTGTACCCAGACAAATCCCCAGTCATTTGAATTCTATGGACATTCATCCAGATATGGACATAAAATTATCCAGAAGCAATTTTGTCTGGGTGACTCCGATATCCAGTTTATCAGAATCCGGATAATCGAGCTTACATTTTGTTCTTTCCTTGTGAAATACTATTAAATTTTACATTATTGTTTGTTCAACTATAAACTTTGCATTACCTATACTCTTAATACAGTAAAGCAAAAAAAAAAACTCTGCTGCTGGGGAGACATCAATGTTTGGTTGCATTAGGACAAGGAAATCAAATCTTCCAGAAAATGTCTCTCCTCACTGTAGAGTATATTGAAATAACATATGGCAACGAAGTCTTGTGAGAAATTTCAAAATTTAAACTTCAATGAAAAAAACTGCATTGAATGTAATGAAACTGAATTTTCTGGGTAAAAACCCGGAGGCTCCCCCGGAGCTATCCAGGCTGATATGCATAATATTAGACTTTTGGCATCAGTCAGTGTGAAAGGAGTTCTAGACCAACCAGGGACCACGAGCCAGAACCTGGACCTAGATTCACGAAGCTCCATGTATTTCTTTGTAAGTATGTGTGTTACGAAGGTTCCTAAGTACAGTACCGGCTAAGAAAACGCCAAAGAGCCATTCAGAAAAGTGTACGTACGAAGATTTTTAAGTACAGTACAGTAGTTCACTTAGGTCTTGCTAGATGCCACTAGGGCTTTTAGTTTGGCCAGAGAGAAGGTAACATTTTTCATCTTACAGCTGTAACCAATCACGACGCTGCCATATCTAAGCTTATCTGTGATGCACTTGCCAATTATTTATGTAGAATTTTCTTATAAAATTAGTATATTTTGAAGTAAAACTTAGTTTTTTCAACTTATACAGTTAGCACCGACATTGTAGTAAACAAATGTGTTACTTTTTTTTTCCTACATAATTCTAAGACATATTGTATAGCTTTCCTTGTCGCTCCCAAGATTTGACAAGCAATGGTATTTTTTTGTAATATATTTACCTAAATTTACCCAAGGGCCACTAACTATCTAGTGGCCTCGACGAGGACAAAAAGTCAATGCTTGTCAAGTCAGGCCAATTGTTTTAATGGTATTTTCTAGCTGGATTTTGGCATTTACGGCTTCAGAGGGTAGGCAGTTCCATGGGTTTTAACCCCCTGGGTGAAAAAAACTCTGTTTTCAGTCGTACTTGAGAGGACATACTCTCCAACATTATATATGTGATTGCCCTGTTATCAGTGACTTCTGACCAAATGGTATGAGGTACTTTGAGCTCTGTAATTAATTCATACACTCAGGAATATTTGAAGATATTCTTGTGCTGTACCCAGATTTTCCTAGTGGGGGCCAATAGATCAGCCTTACATTTCTTATTCTCTCCTGATTCCATGTATGATTGGCCATCCTGTGAGGTGGGGATTTTGGATGAGCTTGTAGCTAGTTTATGATCTACACTGTAATCTTTCATATAGTATAGGGTAGCAGCACATTGCTGTTTATACCTAAGCTTGTTAATAAAAAGAAATCAGTAATAAAGGTTTTAAATTATAGCTTGTATTATTATTATTATTATTTCCAGTATTATCCTTATTAAATCATAAATGTTAACCATGGATCATTAAGATCGCATATTGATATGTACTGTTAGTAATGTTTACCAAACCACACATTAGAAGATAAAAAGAAGACAACAATGTTATTAATATTTCTTGTGAATCATTAAATTGTGCAGTATGTCTCAATTTTTCACTTTTTGGATATACATTAGAAAAAACCAGCGTTCAATGAAATGAAACGCCATTTTCTGGGGGAGTCCCGGAAGCTCTCCGGAACTCACTAGGCTGATATGCTAATGTCAGACTTTGGCATCAGTCATGTATATGGAGTTTTATGGGCCTACCGGGGACCACAAGCCAGAACCTGGCCCCCCTCAGAAGAGGCAAGGGGAGCAATGGCCGATAGAAATCCCCATGTGGTTGGAAGCATTCTATGTCTGCCATCGACCGGGTTAGGCACCTAGAAAGGTAAGCATCCCAAAACAAACCCCTATTCTGGTGAAAATTGTTACCACAAGCTAAACAAGTGGATAAAACTCCCCTAAAATAAACGAGCAAACAGTCATGACATCACACGTCGCCGTGCCGCTGTCCACGCAGCTCCCCACTCCCCGGTAGGGAAAAGGGGGAGCCCCAGACCCATCGCGCCGGCTATCCACCCCCAGTTCTGAGGCTGAATGTAAAAAAACGTGAAAAAAACGCCAACCGGAGGGAGGGAGGGATGCCAGGGAACCTCCGGGACACACCCAGAAAATAGCGTTTCATTACATTCAACGCTGGTTTTCTGGGGGGAGCCCCTTCGGCTCCCCGGAGCTAACTCCCCACAGAGGAAAGTAGAGTGACCTACCTGGGAGGTGGTCGCCGCTCACTCCTCAACTTTAAGTCGAGACAACCGGCTGCAACTGCCAATCCAAAGCGACACAGGCCCGACTAGGCCCAGGAACGCGCACGAGATAACGAGCAGCCAGGACCCTGCTCGACCGCCAAAAACCCCGCGCCTGAATGACTGCCCAGGACAGTCATTCGGGCAACTTGCGAACATGGACACGGGGAAAGACCGTAGGCCGGCTAGCCGTAATAATCCTGCGGACAACCCGGGAGACCCGCAAACAGGGAACGAGGGAAACTGGATCAACCCAAAGTGCAACCCAGGACACAGAAGCTGTGGCATGCAATGAATGGTGGAGGGCCGCCACCAGACACCAAACATGATAGGTGAAAACTAGCTGCGCAGTACCCTGCGCCCCACCAGTGCAAACTGCACCCTACCCCAGGCGAACAAGGGAGACAGAACACCCGAGCACACAAGGGGCAGCCGAAAACCAAGCAGTAAATGGCCTAGCAGGGGCAGAACCCAAGGAACTTGTGGAAGGGAACCCCAAGCCCCAAGGGCAGTACTTACAGGGCACCTAGGGAAGGAACCCTAGGCGCATGCAGCCCGAGTACTGAAGAAACACTCCCGACTCATGCACCACCTAGAAGACAGACACCACACTCTAGGTACAGTGCTGAAACAACCACCGGAGCCGGAGCACACGACCTCAGCCTTTAGCATCAGCCTTAGAACTGGGGGGGGGGGGTGGATAGCCAGCACGATGGGTCTGGGGCTCCCCGTTCCCCCTCCCAAGGAGGGGGGGAGCTGCGCGGACAGCGGCACGTCGACGTGTGACGTCATGATTGTTTGCTCATTTATTTTAGGAGAGTTCTATCCACCTGTTCGGCTTGTGGTAGCAATTTTCACCAGAATAGGGGTTTGTTTTGGGATGCTTACCTTTCTGGGTGCCTAACCTGGTTGATGGCAGACATAGAATGCTTCTAACCACACGGGGGTTTCTATAGGCCATTGCTCCCCATGCCTCTTCTGAGGTGGCCAGGTTCTGGCTCGTGGTCCCCGGGAAGCCCATAGAACTCCATACACATGACTGATGCCAAAGTCTGACATTAGCATATCAGCCTAGTAAGCTCTGGGGAGCCGAAGGGAGTTCCCCTCAGAAAATAGGATAAACAACCCATAAATATTTGTTTCATTATATTCTTATATTTAAATAACTGGATCAATATTTTTACAGCTGGCAGGATTTGTTGTAGTAACAGGTGCTTATCTGTTAAAAAATTGGGTTTATTGTTACCTGCAATGCTGTTACATAGCCTTCCCGGCTTGGTGCCTTCTTTTGATAATTATTGTTACACACAGCAATAATTGTGTAACAGGAGGAAAAGGTCTTGGACACAAATTTGTTAATGCTAAATGTAGAGGAATCAGTTGAGCATTCCTCAAATAAAATAAGCTGCTGCAGCTTATAAGGTAAATAAAATAAGCATTCCTCAAATAAGTAGCTGCCTCACCTCACTGCCTTACTGCTACATAGCCTTCCCTTCTTTTGATAATTACTTATTGTTACACAGCCAAAAAGAGGTCTTGGACCCCTACTTCCCCCCTCTCTTTTTTTAACAGGCCATAATAGTCCCTTTTTCTACTTTAATATACCTACCAATTTCTCTCATCTCATTTTTTTTCTTTCAATGTACCTATTATCATTTTATAAATTCTGCTAGAATTTATCAACTTAAAATTATCTGTTAGATTAAGGACCTGCCCGAAATCCTGCAGGTACTAGTGGCTTTTCAAGAATGTAAATATCATGCTATGCATCCTCACAAATCCAGTGTATCTTCTTGTATAAATAAATAAATAAATAAATAAATAGTCATAATTATAGGTTTAAGTATTCAATGAGAAAAGTTTTTGAAGTTTTTATCCTTATCCTTACCTAAGATCATTTGTGCAGCATATTTTTCTTTTTTGTCTCACCCAGATTTAATTTAAAAATAAAACCAAACAAAATAAATTAAAAAGGGGTATGTATAGCTACGGTACACCCCTTAACTATACTTATTACTAGGTGAATAGGGGCATTTGGTGATACAGAGCACCACTTGGTTTCCAAACCCCTTGGGGACAAGACTCGTTGGTTATTGTGTAAGTTCGTAAACAAGAAATGGAGGAAAATGGAGAGAAAAAAATTAAATAAAAAAAATTAAACAAACAAATCTAAGGGAAAAATTTGACAGGTTCATTGCATAAATGACTATTTTGTTTGCACTCACCAATTAGAGAAGTCCTGATCCACTTCTCCCTCAGGAGAGGCGGGACCAAAAAGCCAGAGCTCAACTCTGCAAAGACAACTAGATGAGTACAACTATGTGAGTACACCCTCACTGCTGCTGCCCTCCCTCCCCCCGAAGTAGCTAGCTTAGTAGATTGCCAGCCAGAGAATAATTATCCTAATAATATTATTAAACAAAACCTGTAACCAAATATATATTTGATGATGTACATTTATGAAACAAATCTGGCTAACGGGTTGAGTGTGGTTAGGCTTATCAGAGTGAGCCAGTCCCTCTCCCACCACCAACACCCCTCCCCCACCCTGCCTACATCCCATACACACACTAAATGTCACGTGGTTCACCTCAACACCCATCCGTCCCTTCCTGCCTGCCAGTCTGCCTGCCTGCTAGCCTGCCTGCTAGCCTGCCAGCCAGTCAGCCAGTCAGCCTCTCTGCTTGCTTGCCTGCCTGCCTCTGCTTGCCTGCCTGCCTCTGCCTGCCAGCCTGCCTGCCTATCCCTCCCTCCCTAATTCTCCCATCCTCCCTTACTACTTCCCTCCCTTCCTGCTACCTCCTAGCATCTCTCCCTCCCTTTCTCACCAATTCTCCCCCTCTCTCACTAATTCTCTCCCTCTCTCTTACTGCTTCCCACCAAAGCTCCCCCCTCCATCCACCCACCAGTCAGCCATCACTGACACAATGCGTGCATTTGGAGCCGACATGGTGCACAGATGTTTCTTGATTGTGCAGATATGTAAAACAAAATCACAGAATGAACAATCCAGGCTCGTGACAATTCAATATAATAGGAATAATAGGCCGTGAATCTTTGAAGTCGTAGGGTAAAAGGCACTCTAAACAGTCAGTGGGCAAACTGGACCATCTCCCACCCACCACCACAGGCTGGGCCGGCGCAACGCTTGGCAGACCGCTTTGATCCTGGCGGATCCTACCCGAACTTTGTTCGTATAGCATGACTCCCTAACCCCAATCGAGAAACTGGAAGTTTCGGATAACTAAAGTTTGGAAACCAAGTGGTGCATTGTAGTAAATGCTCCCACCATCACCTTCTCTCATATTTAGTAGTTACTAAATATGAGAGATTTAGTTAATAAATATACGAGATTTCAGCTTTTCTCATATTTAGGGTATGTATAGCTAAGGTACACCCCCTAGCTATACTTATTACTAGGTGAACAGGAGCATTTGGTGATTGTAAGTGCTCCCACCATCACCTTCCAAAAAGGTGGAAGGTGATGGTCTCACCTTCCATCTTCTTCGCATTTGGTCTCCCATCAAAAAGACCAAACGCGAAGACTCTAGAAGAACGAACCAATCACATACCAGACCAGACCGATCTGCTGAAAGAGGCGGAGCCACAGGAAAACCTCCGGGTTCGGACACCAAGCAAGCAGCGCCTGACACCAAGGCTGCGCCAGCCACCATGGGGCCAAGAGGACTACTGTCCCCTGGTAAGTCTCCAAGCAAGCTAGGATCTGGAGAAACAGCTGAACTGGGGGAATAGAGGCATAGGAACCCCCCACCTCGACCAGTCCTGCCTGAAGGCATTGACCCCGACAGCCTTGCAGTCGGAGAAGGGTGCCACATATACCAGAAGACGCTTCGACCACACCGACTTGAAGAGGTCCCCCTCCGGGCACCCAAACGTCTTTCATAGCCAACTGAACAAGTCGGTATCGACCGTCCATTCTGTGGACAAGGGAATGAACTGGGACATGCTGTCCGCCAAGACATTGGACACTTCCCGGACGTGAACGACCAGGAGAGTCAAACCTTGAGAACTCAGCAGACGAGACACCCGAAACGACCAGCCCCAAAGAGCCAAGGACCACATCACACCCTCTCGGTTCAGGCAATGAACCACCGGGGAGCAGTCTAAATGGAGCCGGATCGTTGATCTGCAGGTGACCTGAACCCTGTGAAGAGACATCCACACCGCCGCAAACTCCCGCACCGTGCTGTGGACCCGACGGAAGGATGGATCGCACCACCCCTGGCCAGCCTGGTGAGCACTGGTCAGAGCCCCAGCCAAGAGACAACGCATCCATGAACATATTAAGCGAGGGTTTGGGTAGGTTCCATGACACTGAACCCCGAAAAACCCGAAGAGGAAGCCGGCGACGCAAGGCCCTTGGGGGCCAAAACCAGCGATCGCGAGAGAGGTGGAAGGGACGTCCTGGTTACCTGGTTGATGGGGTTCTGGAAGTTCTTCTTCTCCCCAAGCCCGGCCCGAGGCCAGGCTTGACTTGTGAGAGTTTGGTCCACTAGGCTGTTGCTTGAAGCGGCCCGCAGGCCCACATACCCACCACAGTCCAGTTGGTCCGGCACTCCTTGGAGGAAACAATCTAGTTTCCTCTTGATGTCCACTGATGCTCTGGCAATATTTCATATTCTCGCAGGGAGGGTGTTGAACAATCTGGGACCTCTGATGTTTATACAGTGTTCTCTGATTGCGCCTATGGCACCTCTGCACTTCACTGGTTCTATTCTGCCTTTTCTTCCATATCATTCACTCCAGTACATTGTTATTTTACTGGTAGATTTGAGACCTGGCTCTCCAGTATTTTCCATGTGTATATTATCTGGTATCTTTCTCGTCTCCTTTCTAATGAGTACATTTGGAGGGCTTTGAGACGATCCCAATAATTTAGGTGCTTTATCTCGTACATGCGTGCCATATATGTTCTCTGTATTCCCTCTATTTCAGCAATCTCTCCTGCTCTGAAGGGGAGAGTGAGTACTGAGCAGTACTCAAGACGGGACAACACAAGTGATTTGAAGAGTATAACCATTGCGATGGGATCTCTGGATTTGAAGGCTCTCGTAATCCATCCTAACATTTTTCTGGCTGACTCAGAGCATCCCCGAAGGAACCAGAACAGCCGACGAAGCCAAACTTGACCCAGTGGGTAGACCATCATCGCAAAGTTCAGGCTCCCGCACAAACCTTCGAGCAACTGCCGGGTGACCTGGGAGCCCCCAGAAACAAGCACATGTGGGACTGCAGCCGAAGGAGAGACTTTGGAGGGAGAGACAAGGAAGAAGTCCGAGAGTCCCACACAAGACCCAGCCAGGTCCTAACCTGGGAGGGGACCAGATGGGACTTCCTCCAGTTCACCATGAACCCGAACCCGGCAAGCTGGGAAAGAACCAAATCCCTGGCAAGCAGACACGTGGACCGACTAGGAGCCCATACCAGCAAGTCATCAAGGTAGGCCAACACCCGAATACCTAAAAGATGCAGACGGGCCACCACAACCCGGGTAAGGCGTAAACACACGAGGAGCCAAGTTCAACCCGAGCGGGGGACAACGAAAACGGTAACCGAGTTTTTCCACTACAAAACCGAGCCAGTCCCTGAACCCTGGATGAATCGGGAAGTGCCAATATGTGTCCTTGAAGTCTAGGGACACCATCCAAGCGGCCGGCTCCAACAGAAGCCAAACCTGGGACAGAGTAGTAATGCGAAAAGAGGGGCAAGAAACCTAGGGGGTTAGACGGGACAAGTCCAGAATAAACCGCAGGTCCACATAGTCCCGTTTGGGATTGGGAACAGGCAGGAAACCCACCCGAAAGACGTCGTCGTTTTGACCATGCCCAAGCGCACTCACTCCGAGATGACCTGACAGAGCGCAGGAGAAGAGAACTGCCCCGCCAGCCCCGAACCCCCTGAAGGAGAAGGGCCACCCAAAGCCACCACAGGCCGTCGGAAACGACCCGAAAAGCCCACAAATCGTGAGACCAGGCATGAGCGAACAGAGCAAGTTTCCCCTCTATCGCCCAGTCAATGGGACGAACCGCGAAAGGGCCGATGCCCGTTATGAGAACCTGACCCACGCACAGAGCGAACACTATGCTGACCAGACACAGACGGTTCCGAAGGCGGCATTGGCTCCAAAACTGGCATCAGTGGCCTACCACGACGAGCGGAATCCCGAGCCCTAGTATGACGCTTCTGGGAGGAACCCCCTAGGACCCCCCAAAGGACCAACAAGTCTGGCATCTGATGACAACTAGCCGAGGCCAGCTGCAGAAACTACCCAATCGCAGACTGCAAATAGAAAAAGGACAAAAAAGGCGAAGAAACTCTAAAAGCCAGGGACCCAAGCAGATTCCAACGAGGAAGCGAGCACAACCTGCTGACACGCGAGATGCACAGTGAGAAGAGCGATACCGCATCCCGCAGGATCAACACAGTATTAGCAGTGCAGATGACGCACGAGCCGCAGAGATTAAGGCACCAGACCCAGGAGCGGCCTCAAGCGCCTCTGCATTCTCCACAAGCCAGTCACAAGAGAGCTCCAGGAGGGAAAAGAAATGCAAAACCGAAGCCAGCAAGCCATGAGCGTGCAAATCCTCAGTCACCAGCGCAGTCAACAGGGAGGGAACCTGCACGTGAAGCTGAATCACGCCCACATCCCACTGAAGGGCAGGGGCACACAAACACGCATTAAGGTGCTTGAATTCACCCCCAGGTAAACCTGGACCACCGTCAAGGCCTCGCGCCACTCAAGCATGCAGGTATGACAGAAAGTACTCCAAGCATTCAATGACAACACCGGGCAGTCCACAAGCCAGGACGACTCCAGAACCTTATAGCGAACCCAGAATGGAGACAAAGACCCAAACCTGAAGGATAACGGATCCATTATAGAGGTAAAATCTGGGTCGCACAGGAGGTAAGCCGCATTGGCCGCCCACACCTCAGTAGGCGAGATGCGGGAAGCCGAAAAACCTCCGGAAGGACGGAACCAAAGGACCCGAAGGGATACGGAACCAGACCTGGGGAGGGGCTGAACCCAAATCCAACTTGTACACAGAGAGGGGAAAGGAAAACCCTACTCCTTGTAACAGCAAACCCCGCTCAGAGGGTTTAAAAACCCAGGCAGGGTCAAAAGGGGCCCAAGGCCCCCCAAGCCAGCCTCCCCAACCCCGGGAATCTCCACATCAGGCCCTGGGGACGAGTTGTCCTCCAAAGTCCCAGCCTCACAAAAAAAACGGAGCAGCTGAAAAAGCAGGAAAGAAAGGGGCCCAATGGTCAG